TCGAACGATTGTTTAATTATATAACGATTAACAACTTCACCGAATCCATTTATATAGTTCATTCACAACGGATATAATTATGTTAAACTATTAGGGTGTTGATATTAGTTTTAAAAAATAGTTTGTAAAAAAACAAAAATCATAGTAAAAAAATATGGAAGTAAATAAAAATTACGCAACAGAATTAAATGCTGTTTTTGGCTAAGAAAGAAATCGCTAAAATCGTACCATAATATTTCATATTTAAACGAATATTTAAATATAAAAATGCACTCACTAAAAACCATTTTCATAAAATTGGAGGGGATATGAGGTGCAATGGTGGGTTTTTTTTTTTGTGAGCAATTTATTTTAAAACAGACCGAATCGACTTGAAGCGCTGTTTGCAGACTCGAGACAATAGAAAACCCATCTCAGTATTGACAATAGAAACGAATCGGCTAGAGAAGTTCGAACACGCTGCTAGCCTACTTCATGCATGCTTAAAGGGTGCAAATGGACATCTTTATCACAGCATGAAAAAAATTGCATCGTTTTTTACCGCGAGATCTTACATATTACAAAATATTGACGATAATATTCTACCCGTTTAATTTTTATGGAGCAATAACGCAAAATTCGTCAAAATAACAAAAAAATACGAACGATTTCATGCAGTATAAAAAGCATAAAAGAGCGGATGCTGTAGACTGGCTGCCTTCATGTAACGTTACAGTGAAGCCCGCGAGCTTTTGTAGTTCCAGGTAAAATGTGAGGCACTGGCGATTTTTGTTAGCTGCCTGCTAACACGACTAAGACAACTTTTCAATGGAAAAAGAGACTACTTTCATTCGTTCGATAATAAAAATCGGCAAATATTCGAAACACAACGCACCTTACTCGCAAAGCGCTTTCACAACAGCAGAGATGATCTTTTTCATGCATTCGACAATATTTTCGATGCAAACAGCATCGGACAGTGGGCGGGCGACTGTTATTATTTGAAAGGCACTGCCAGTTCTTCCTCGTCTCTCGCTCGGCGTCGACGGTTCGTGGCACAGCGCCGCCTAATCTGGTGGAGAGTGCGAACGTGAAGAATGAGCGTATGGGTAAAATTAAATAAAGAAATAAAGCAGTTGTGTGTGTGTGTGTGTGTGTGTGTGTGTGTGTGTGTGTGTGTGTG